TTAATCTTTAATCAGTTCCCTTTAAAGACCAAAGAAGACTTTTCCTCTTGTGTGGCCTGTGTTGATCTATGAACAGTGTTCACTATGACCCAGGAAATCCCACAAAGTCATGCATGTTAGAAGGATGAAACCCTCATGTTCACTGTAAGGACTCCTGTGAAGGTGCTCAGGCCATCACGGGTATGACTAAATGAAAAGCCGCCAAGTATCTGAAATATTTTCTTTTACAGAAATTATATGTACCATTGCAACCTTAGAAGGTGGAGTTGGTAGCTGTACCCAAGACAACCAACACTGGGGCTGGACTCAGCATCAGTGGCCCAGAAGAGGTACTGGAATGTGCTTAAAAATGCAGAGTTATGCTGCATTTAAGGGTATAGATGTAGATTCCCTGGTTATTGAGCACATCCAGGGGGAACAAGGCACCCATTAATGTATCACTTGACTTACAAAACTCATGGGTAGACGAACCCATCCACAGACTCCTGCGATATCCAGATGATGCTTAGTGAAAAGAAACACATTGTTCCAAAAGCAGAAAAGGAGATGAGTGTACAGAAGAAAAAGATACCCCACAAGAAGCATAAACTTAAGAGACAAATTCAGCAAAAGAAAATGCAAATAAAACTTCAAAACAAAAAAACAACTTTAAAAATTCATAAAACACAAAATGACATACTCTGTTATAAAGTATGCCTTTATGCTAGCTCGCCGATAAAAGTTGGCAATAATAGGTGAAATGAAGATAGCTGTTGGTGACCGGCAGATTCTGGGTCTATGATAGGTCAGAGAAGGATGCTTTTCACTTTGTTTTACATTTTTTTAATGCCTGATGTTGACTTGGTAGAAAGATGATAATAAATTCTTCTGTCTATGTGTTTCTTTTAGATTACTCGTGGACTGAAGAAAAAAATTTGTTAGTTTGATTTAGGATTGTGACTGAGGACAATAGCCTGGAAGCAGTTCTGACAGCTGCTATGCCGTGTTTTGGTTCACAGTTTAAACAGACATGTGGGCCCTGTGCTCTACCTTGGTTTTTCTTCAAAGCATATTTCTGAAGAGCTGCAGAGTCCCTGAGTCAGGAATGTTATAAAGTCAGGCTGGAAACCAGAAATAGGTAAACATGACTAAGTTGTGTGTTTTTTTGAGATGTTGCCATCTCTGTTGCCCAGGCTGAAATACAGTGGCGTGATCTCGGCTCACTAACCTTTGTCTCTAGTACAAACGATTCCTCTGCCTTAGCCTCCCAAGCAGCTGGGATTATAGGTGTGCACTACCACGCCTGGCTAATTTTTGTATTTTGGTAGAGATGGGGTTTCACCATGTTGGCCAGGCTGGTCTTGAACTCCTGATCTCAGGTGATCCACCTGTCTTGGCCTCCCAAAGTGCTAGGATTACAGGTATGAGCCACAGCGCCCGGGGACTCCTGTTTCACTTTCATGCAGTTAAATAATCTTAGATTCTTCCTTCTCGACTTTATACATGCACACTGGAGGAAAGTGGGACTCTGCTCATATTTGCATTTTTTTTGTTGTTGTGGAGACTCTCGCTTTTGTAGCCCAGGCTGGAGTGCAATGGCACAATATCAGCTCAACTCATCCTCTGCCTCCTGGGTTCAAGTGATTCTTTGGCCTCAGCCTCCCAAATAGCTGGGGGTTACAGTCATGCACCAGCATGTCTGGCTAATTTTGTATTTTTAGTAGAGACAGGGTTTCTCCATATTGGTCAGTCTGGTCTTGAACTCCCAACCTCTGGGGATCTGCCCCTATCAGCCTCCCAAAGTGCTGGGATTACAGGTACGAGCCACTGTGCCCAGCTAAGAGTCTCGCCATGTTGCCCAGGCTGGAGTGTAATGGCTCACTGCAACCTCTGCCTCCCGAGTTCAAGTGATTCTCCTGCCTCAGCCTCTCGAGTAGCTGGGATTACAGACTCAGGCTACCACACCTAACTAAATTTTTGTATCTTTAGTAGAGATGAGGTTTCACCATGTTAGCCAGGCTGGTCTCGAACTCCTGGCCTTTGTGATCCGCCCGCCTCAGCCTCCCAAAGTGCTAGCATTACAGGTGTCAGCCACTGCACCCAGCCCTCTGCTCGTTATTTTTGTTTTTTGAGACGGAGTTTCGCTCTTGTTGCCCAGGCTGGAGTACAATGGCATGATCTCCGCTCACTGGAACCTCCACCTCCCAGGTTCAAGTGAGTCTCCTGCCTCAGCCTCCTGAGTAGCTAGGATTACAGGCATGAGCCACCACAACCGGCTAATTTTATAATTTTTTTTAGTAGAGACGGGATTTCTCCATGCTGGTCAGGCTGGTCTCAAACTCCCGACCTCAGGTGATCCGCCCACCTCGGCCACTCAAAGTGCTGGGATTACAGGCGAGCCACCGCACCTGGCCCTCTGCTCGTGTCATACACACTGGGATTGAGGATGTGTCTTGGAATTGATGAAGCATGTGAGAAGCCGGTGAATAACCTGCAGGGGGCAGCAGAGGCCGATGCCAGTGACTGCACACGGGGGCGAGTATGGATTCTGCCAAGGAGGAAAGTGGAACTCTCCTGGATGGTTCCTGGACAGCCGCCCTTCCCTGCAGGCGCTTCCAGCTGCTCAGAGCAGATCCAGGAGTGTGGAATCTGAGATGCTGCAGCGCCCTGGAAAGCGGGAGACCCACGTGCAGGTGTACTTGAGGAGTTCTGTCCTTTCTGTGGTTGTACATCTGGAATCTGGGGCCGTTTTCAGGAGCAGTGTTTTGGGTTTGACATGTAATTTGCATATCTGAAGAAAATCTGTGAAGATCAGGTTCAGAGAAAGAACTCTTTGGGACCTCTCCTGGAGAAGAGGCTTATGAAGTTGACGGTTTATTTAGGTCAGAAGCTTAAAATCACTAAGTCAGAGTTTACTGCTGATGAAGATGAAGGTCTGGAAGGAGGGAGCGTTTCCACGCTGTGAGGTGGGGTGAGATGTGTGAGAAAGCCTTGGCCATGTCTCACCCCTAATCCCGGTCCCCAGAAGGACAACTGCTTCTCCCTCCTGGTGCAGTCGTGCCTGGCCTGGTCTGGGTTCCCCTTCCTGCTCTGAGGCCAGCAGATCCCTCCATTGGACAGTGAGTCTGGAATTCCCTGCACACACTTAGGACCCTGTGCAGGACGAAGTATGGACAGCCCATTGAGTGAGGAAAAAGATAATGCCCTGTTTAAAAATCTGGAGCAAATTTGGCTGAAAAGAAAATATCCAACGACCAGGGCTCAGGGAGATAGTTGTCCTTTAGAGAGAGGCTGTGGCTACAACCGATCAGTGAGGCTCTGCAGGACCAGTTATCCAGGGCTTCTGCCATCACTCAGTTCTGATGGGGCGGGGCCTTGCACCTTGTCCAATCAGGAGCGCCGGGGCGGGGCCCGGCCTACCGTCCATCCGGAAGGAGGAGAACCATTCCGGCTTCTGCTTTAGTTGCTATGTAGGTTGTTGGCATCCCAGATTTCCTGCTCCGAGAGGCGCCGGGTCCCTCTGCCACAACTTCTGTCGCTCTGTTGCCTGCGCTGTGACCTGCTCTATTCACGGGAGCCCTAGAGAGGACCCCGGAATACCCAGAAGCCCGGAGATGGTGAGTGTGTGGGGCCAGAGTCCCTAGACGGGGAAGGGGCTGGGTGGAACCGGCCGGAAGCGGCTGTTACAGGACCTAGGCCTCCTTGTGGCGCCTAGCGAATTTGGGACCCAAATTCCCCAGCGCAGCTCGGCCCTCCGTCCCCTCGGTCGCAGGGTGGGGCTGGGCCGGCAGCTGGGACCCCAGGCGTCCTGTCTTGTCCCGTCCTTTCTCTGCGCAGGCAACTGTGGGTCCCGGTCCCAGAGCCCTCTCTGGGCAGCTCCGCGTCTCCCCAGATTCTGCTGGGACGGGAGGGTGGGTCATGGAGGAATCCTGCTGGGTTCGTGTGGGAGGAGCTGCGGTGTGTGGGGTTCCCTGTATGTTTTTTTCCTGTTAAAAATTAAAGAGTTTGAGCAAACAGCGATTCATGAATGAGCAACACCCAGTCATGATTTGTGGTTTGTTACCAAAAAACTTTAAAAAGAATAGCATTTTGTTAACGGTGGAGGATGTCCAGGTTTTTGGCGTCTTGAACAAAGAATTGGACAAAACGCACAAAGCAAGCAAGGAATGAAGGGATTTAACACTCCACAGTGTGCGAGCGGGTCTGAGCACAGGGGCTCAAAGGCCCCGTTACAGAATTTTTGGGAGTTTACCCTCTAGCGGATTCTATTGGTTACTTGGGGTATGCCCTGTATAAAAGGAGAGGATGAAGTAAAGTTACAAAGTCATTTACTTGGCTTATGCCCTATGGAGAGGGTATTTCCTTTCATAGCTGAAGTGTGAATGGGCCTTATGTTTCCTGCCTCCACACCCTATTTTCCTGCCTCAATCTGAGTTGGATTTTGGTGTCCTTAGGTAGTTCCTTAAGGTGATAAACATACTTAAAAGTCTAATTGTTGCTGCTTTAAATTTGTTCACACTGTCTATGGAGACTGGTTTCCTCCTGCATTTTCCTAATCTATGGGATGCAGGGTCTCAAATCCTCCACCCTGCTACCCCACCCTAACTCCTCAACGGTTTGAAGTAACATCTTGTATTTTAAATTTCTTTTCCCACATCTCTAAACCTTAACTCCCCTTCTCCAACTCACAGTACTGTCAACTTTCTTTTGAGATGCAGTTTCGTTCTTGTTGCCCAAGCTGGAATGCAATGACATGATCTCGGCTCACTGCAGCCTCCACCTCCCGGGTTCAGGCGATTCTCCTGCCTCAGCCTCCTGTATCAACTCTCTTTATTGTAGAGTATATTTCTTCATGCTTTCTTTAACATAGATGCAGTATTTTAGTGGTTTATCATCTTTTCACAGGGTCATGGATGACTTTTAAAAATATATTTGTCTTCTAGCTGGGCGCGGTGGCTCACACCTGTAATACCAGCACTTTGGGAGGCTGAGGTGCGCAGATCACAAGGTCAGGAGATCGAGACCATCCTGGCTAACAAGGTGAAACCCTATCTCTACTAAAAATACAAAAATTAGCCAGGCATGGTAGCATGCGCCTGTAGTCCCAGCTACTCAGGAGGCTGAGGCAGAAGAATCACTTAAACCCGGGAGGAGGAGGGTGCAGTGAGCTGAGATTATGCCACTGCACTCCAGCCTGGGCAACAGAGTGAGATTCCATCTCAAAACAAGTAAATAGATAAATAATAAAATATTTGTGTTCTATTTCTGAACATTTCATAAGAGGAAAATAGAGGATAACCACTTAATACTCCAGTGAAAAACCCGTTCCTCTTTTATCTTCACAAGGCACAGACACCATCTCAGAATATTTGTGGGTTTTTCCTCTTTTTTTTTTTTTGAGACGGAGTCTCACTCTGTCTCCAGGCTGGAGTGCAGTGGTGAAATCTCAGCTCTTTGCAAACTTTGCTTCCCAGGTTTAAGCGATTCTTCTGCCTCAGCCTCCTCAGTAACTAGGACTACAGGCATGCGCCACCAGACCCAGCTAATTTTTTTTGAGGTGGAGTCTCGCTCTGTTGCCCAGGCTGGAGTGCAATGGCGCAATCTCAGCTCACTGCAACCTCTGCCTTCCAGGTTGAAGTGATTCTCCTGCCTCAGCTTCCTGAGTAGCTGGGATTACAGGCATACGCCACCACACCCGGCTAATTTTTTTGCATTTTTTAGTAGAGACCGAGTTTCACCATGTTAGTCAGGCTGATCTCAAACTCCTGACCTCAGGTGATCCACCTGCCTTGAACTCCCAAAGCGCTGGGATTGCAGGCGTGAGCCACCATGCCTGGCCCACACACATTTTTATTTTAATAAATATTTGCCTTTTGTCTTAAGACTGGGCCTCTTGGAGGTTTTTTTTTTTGTCAAATTTTTTTCTGCAATCAGCCTTCAGTAATTCATCAATTACAATTTAGGTTTTCCTACTCCAGTACTCATTCCCATAAAGGCTTCTGCTCATGCGTTTCTGTTTCAGTTAGTTGTGACTCTCTTATCAGATCAGTTGGTGGAGCCCCTTGCAAAATCCAGTCTTTTTTTTTGTCTTTTGTTTTTGGTTTCTGCTGCTTTGAATCAGAACAAAATCTACCTTCCAGATGCCAGCAATGGTTAAAGTTTGTGAACAGGTATTTTTAAGGATACCCAGGCTCAGGACTGCTAATGTTAACTTTTTTCTACATACAAATTTGTAGGACTTTGTCATGAGAGATGCTATAGACCCACAGTACAAAGAGACAGTAGGGGCAGCCCAGGCAGTACACGTTTTTTACTAGATTCACCAGAAAAACACATTTTCCTATTCTGCTGTTGCTTTACCTCATAGTTCACTTCTATTATAAGAATTCAGGGCCCAGGCGCCGTGGCTCATGCCTTTAATCCCAGCACTTTGGAAGGCTGAGGCAGGCAGATCACGAGGTCAAGAGATTGAGACCATCCTGGCCAACATGGTGAAATCTCGTCTCTACTAAAAATATAAAAACTGGCTGGGCGTGGTGGAGCACACCTGTAGTCCCAGCTACTCGGGAGGCTGAAGCAAGAGAATCGCTTGAACTGGGAGCTGGAGGTTGCCGTGAGCAGATTGTGCCACTGCACTCCAGCCTGGTGGCAGAGCAAGACTCCATCTCAAAAAAAAAAAAAAATTCATTTGTTGATTCTGGATGTGGTTGTTCATGCCTATAATCCTAGCATTTTGGGAGGCCACGGCAGCAGGATTGCTTCAGCCCAGGAGTTCATTACCAACCTTGGCAATATAGGGAGACCTTGTCTCTACCAAAAAAAGAAAAAAAGAAGCTACACATGGTGGCAAGCACCTGTAGTCCCAGCTACTCTGGAGGCTGGGGGAGAAGGACCACTTAAGCCAAGGAGTCCAAGGCTACAGTCATACATGACAATATCTGTACACTCAGGCCTGAGCCAGACCCTGTCTCTTAACAAAAAAGGACTTGGTTTGTGGGAGGACATGAGTATAGACAGAAAGTAAGAGGTGTGATGACGAAGTCATGGATAAATGTTTGGAGTCCACAGTATCACAAGAACTTAGGAAGAAAGTAGAGGCCTCCAGGGCTATTAGTCTTACCTGTCCTCCTTTACGTATGTGAGATGTTTCAGGATTCGGTGGCCTTTGAGGATGTAGCTGTGAGATTCACCCAGGAGGAGTGGGCTTTGCTGGTTCCTTCACAGAAGAATCTCTACAGGGACGTGATGCAGGAAACCTTCAAGAACCTGGCCTCTGTAGGTAAGGTTGACAATATTACTTCCCAGTGAATTAAAGAACAAATATTTCTAGCTTATCAGTGCTGTTCAGTGATTTGGAATATGGACAGAAAATACTTTGATGAATAAATCAGGCAGGGCTACCATGTACCATGAATACAGAATCTAATGATTTTTAAATAAATTCATACTAATTCTGGATCTGTGTTTCTTCTGGGTCTGTGTTTAGGAAAAACATGGAAAGTCCAAAACATCGAAGATGGGTACAAAGATTTCAGGAGAAATCTAAGGTAATTTTCTTTCGTAGGACAAAGCAATGTCTTTGGAAAATCTTAAAATGTGAGAAAATATTAAAAGGAAGCAAAACAGCTGGGCACAGTGGCTCACGCCTATAATCCCAGCTCTTTGGGAGGCCGAAGCGCGCAGATCACCTGAGCTCGGGAGTTCAAGACCAGCCTGACCAACATGGAGAAACCCTGTCTCTACTAAAAATACAAAATTAGCTGGGTGTGGTAGCACACGCCTGTAATCCCAGCTACTGGAGAGACTGAGGCAGGAGAATTGCTTGAACCTGGGAGGCGGGGGTTGTGGTGAGCCAGGATCAATCATACCAATGCATTCTAGCCTGGGCAACAAGCAAAACTCCATCTCAAAAAAAAAAAAAAAAAAGAAGCAACAGAAATAAACCCAGTGTCAAATTTATATATTCATAGAATGTTTACCTAAAAACGTATATTTAAATGTAAGATAGGTTGGGCTGGGCACTAGTGCTCATGCCTGAAATCCCAGTCCTTTGGGGTGTTAAGGCCAAAGGATTGCTAGAGGCCAGGAGTTTGAGGCTGCAGTGAGCCATGATGGTACCACTACATTCCAATTTGGACAACAGGGCGAGTTGAGACCTCAACTCAAAAAAAAAGATGCACATGTTTAGTATTTGTAAAATAGTTCACTTGAAAATAGGATTAAGGGCCGGGCGCAGTGGCTCAAGCCTGTAATCCTAGCACTTTGGGAGGCCAAAATATGTAGATCACCTGAGGTCAGGAGTTCAAGACCAGCCTGACTGTCAAGGTGAAACCCCATCTTTAAAAAAAAGAAAATAGGATTAAGAGCCCCATAGAAATATTAATTTTTAAATAATGTTTATACCCAGGCCATCTTGTACAGCATATGGTCCATTAATATTCAAATAATTCAGACAGAGCAGAAAGCTGACACTTTGCTGGGCAATGTCAAAAATGCAAGTGTAATACATGTTAATGAATATAAATCACTTTTTTTTCCTTCTTTTTTGAGACAAGAGTCCTGCTTTGTCACCCAGGCTGGAGTGGAGTGGTGTAGTTTCAACTTACTGCAACTGCCATTGCCTAGGTCCAAGGTATTCTCGTGCCCTAGCATCCCAAGTAGTTGGGATTACCGGCGTACACCATAACACCAAGCCAATTTTTGTATTTTTAGTAGAGACAGGATTTCTCCATGTTGGCCAGGGTGATCTCAAACTCCTGGCCTCAAGTGATCTGCCTGCCTCAGCCTCCCAAAGTGCTGGGATTACAGGCGTGAGCCACTATACCCACTATATAAGTCACTGTAAAAAAAATTCTTACTGAGTTGGAGTTTCACTCTTGTCACCCAGGCTAGAATGCAATGGCACCATCTTGGCCCACTTCAACCTCCACCTCCTGGGTTCAAGCAATTCTCCCACCTCAGCTTCCCGAGTAGCTGGGATCATAAGCACCCACCATCATGCCCACCTAATTTTTGTATTTTTAATGGAGACGGGGTTTCACCGTGTTGGCCATGAGGTCGAATTCCTGACCCCAGGTGATCCACCCATCTCAGCCTCCCAAAGTGCTGGGATTACAGGCATGAGCCACCATGCCTGGCCCTATAAATCACTTTTAATCAAACCCTTAACAATGTGCTTCTCATTTTTCACTGAAGTCTTCTTATTAGAGAGAAACACATTGAAAGTAAAGAAAGTAATCACTGTGGAGAAAGCTTCAATCAGATTGCAGATGACATGCTGAACAAGAAAACTCTTCCTGGAGTAACATCATGTGCAAGCAGTGTGTATAGAGAAGTTGGCATGGGTCATTCATCCCTTAACAGGCATATCAGAGATGACACTGGACAGAAGTCTTATGAGTATCAGGAATATGAAGAGAATCCATATAGAAATAAGCAATGTAAGCAAGTCTTCAGTTATCTTGACTCCTTTCAATCACATGATAGAGCTTGCACTAAAGAGAAACCCTATGATGGTAAAGAATGTGCAGAAACCTTCATTTCCCATTCATGCATTCAAAGACACAGGGTAAGGCACAGTGGAGATGTACCTTATAAATGTAAGTACTGTGGGAAAGCCTTCTATTTTCTCAGTTTATGCCTTATCCATGAACGAATTCACAGTGGTGTGAAACCATATGAGTGTAAACAATGTGGTAAAGCCTTTACTCGTTCCTCTACCCTTCAAATACATAAAGGAACTCACACAGGAGTGAAAGCCTACGAATGTAAGAAATGTGGGAACACATTCAGTATTCCTAGTGAAATTTGTAGACATAAAAGGTCTCACACTGGAGAAAAACCCTATGAGTGTAAGCAATGTGGGAAAGTCTTCATTTCTTTCAGTTCCATTCAATATCATAAAATGACTCACACTGGAGAGAAACCCTATGAATGTAAGCAGTGTGGGAAAGCTTTTAGATGTGGCTCACACCTTCAAAAGCATGGAAGGAGTCACACTGGAGAGAAACCCTATGAATGTAGACAATGTGGTAAAGCCTTCAGATGTACCTCGGACCTTCAACGGCATGGAAAGACACACACTGAAGATAAACCCTATGGTTGTAAGCAGTGTGGGAAAGGCTTTCGATGTGCCTCACAACTTCAAATGCATGAAAGGACACACGGTGGAGAGAAACCCCATGAATGTAAGGAATGTGGAAAAGTATTCAAGTATTTTTCTTCCTTGCGTATACATGAAAGGATGCACACTGGAGAGAATCCCCATGAATGTAAGCAGTGTGGAAAAGCATTCAGGTATTTCTCTTCCTTGCATATACATGAAAGGACACACACTGGAGATAAGCCATATGAGTGTAAGGTATGTGGCAAAGCCTTCACTTGTTCCAGTTCCATTCGATATCATGAAAGGACTCACACTGGAGAGAAACCCTATGAATGTAAGCACTGTGGTAAGGCCTTTATTTCCAATTACATTCGATATCATGAAAGGACTCACACTGGAGAGAAACCCTATCAATGCAAGCAATGTGGCAAAGCCTTTATTCGTGCCAGTTCATGTCGAGAACATGAAAGAACTCATACCATTAATGTATGAGAAATCCTATTAGTGGAAGAAATGGGAGCTTTCTGTTGTCCCACTTCCTTTGAAAGATGAGAAGAGAGAGTGGTGAAAGAACTTCTGGATAATTGCCTTTTGAGTTGAGAGACCTGAAAAAGGACAATAAAATCCAGAAGGACTTGGATGGTTTTGTAATATAATTCACCTATAGCCAATCTTGTATGAGATTTCAAAGGCACAGAAAAGGAAGGCATCAGTCACATAAAGGCATCACACAGGGAGAGAGGTATGTGGCTACCTGCTTCCAGACCATTTTCCTGATTGTTAATGGAGAGTATCCCCCAAATCACTTGTCTCCATTCCTCAGAGTTGTAGGTCTCCAGAGATGTCCCCAGGTGCTCCACATTGAAGATACATGCCTACTTTGCTATTTCTTCAGAAATTTTTAAATGTTTACCAGAGAACTAATAAATCTGTTATGGCTGGAAATACTCTCTAATGCTCAACTGTTCCATAGATTGAGTTAAACAATTTAAGGTCTACTTTGTATTGCAAGCACTGTTGTTTCTACAGGTAGTGACCCTGTTCTTCATTAAACCAACTAGATGGAAGCTTGTTCCTCTGCTGCATTGTACAGTGACTGGTCTCACCAAGGGCTCTTGTGTGAGAAGAGCCACCTTGCTCTTATCAGAAAATTTCAAGTGTTTCCTGTTATTCACAACTGAATGTGATGTCTCACTTCATTTTTAATTTTGTATGAATATACCTAACTAAAATAAATAAATAAAATAAAATAAAATGGAAACACCATGTGGTTTCTTGGCAACAAAGACTTCTGTTTATGTATTTTAGAAATCTGTTTATTAACTGTTTATAACTACATACTAACAGATACTATTTTTTCATTAAGAAGCTTTATTCCTACATCCCATTAGCATCACGTATTAGATCAAGTTGATACTGTTAACATGTTATCCCTTGGACATTGTGAGTCAACATAAATATGGATGTCAGGCATATTTTTCCTCATGTAAATTTTACTTTCCATGCTTATATTCTTTGTTTTTATCTGGGTCATGAATTTTCATTTATTCTAAACACCAAAGGTCATCTCGTGTTCTTCTGAGTGACTTCTCACTAAAGACCACCAGTGGTGGAAAGAAAGTGTAATATACTGTAGTAATGAATGTGAACAAAAGCCATAGATGACTGAGCTGTAGGAGAATTACAAGGTAGTCACATACTTGAGAAAACAAAAAACGGGTATGTTTGTGATTTTAAATGTTTTCTTCTGTCACATTTCAAGACATGGTTAAAGAATTAGTTATTTTTGTATTGATCCATCATGGTCACTGAGGAGCGTCATCTCATGTTGCAGGTGTATGACATGTGTCTGTTCAGTGGCAGAAGACTCAGCCTTCTGGTGAGGGGAGGCCAGCCATCAGACTTCTGGACCAGTTTTTGCCATGCTATTCTCTAAACCCTGATATATTCCCTACAATATATAGACATTGGTTACCATAACACACCTCAGTTAAAATATATACATTCACTTCTTATCAATGTATATACTTATTTATTTATTTATTTATTTGTAGCGATGGAGTCTCCATATGTTTCTCCGGCTGTTCTTTGACTCCTGGATCATGTGATTTCCCATCTCCATCTCCCCAGGTGCTGGGATTACAGACATGAGCCACCACAGCCGGCTACTACTTTAATTTAAAAGTCACCTGGAGTCCTGCCGGGTGCAGTGGCTCACACCTGGAATCCCAACACTTTGGGAGGCCAAGGCGGGTGGATCACCTGAGTTCAGGAGTTCAACACCAGCCTGGCCAATGTGGTGAAACCCTGCCTCTACTAAAAATATAAAAATTAGCCAGGCATGGTGGTGGGCGCCTGTAATCCCAGCTCCTTGGGAGGCTGAGGCCAGAGAATAGCTTGAAATTGGGAGGCAGAGGTTGTAGTGAGCCGAGATTGCATCACTGCACTCTAGGCTGGATGCCAAGAGCAAAACTCCGTCTCAAAAAAAATCTCCTGGAGTCCTATAAGTCTAATATGTTTTGAAAACTGAATTTCCTGCTCAGTAAGGAACAAATCATCACTATTCTAATCAAGTCTTTCTCTGCTTACATGCTGTTGATGCAGACTTGTCAAGAGCCCCCTTATGCTAGTATTATGAAGCTAAAGGCATCATGGAAAAGTCATTTTTATATATTACACAATGGCATGGAACAATCCATTTCTTTTAAGGTGTCAAGGGTGCTTCTCTTCACAAAAGCTTATTTGAGTCTCCCTAGAGTAAAAATCCGGGTCCCAGCAGACATAGAAAAATCACTGGCCAAACCTTAACTATGTGTGATGACATATGGAAAATACCTTGATTTGTGAGATATGAAAATTCTTTGTTTTTTTTTTTGTGATGGAGTCTTGCTGTCTCACCCAGGCTGGTGTGCAGTGGTGCAATCTTGGCTCACTGCAACCTCCACCTCCTGGGTTCAAGCAATTCTCCTGCCTCAGCCTCCCAAGTAGCTGGGATTACAAGTGCCTGCCACTATGCCTGGCTAATTTATATATTTTTAGTAGAGATGGGGTTTCACCATGTTGATTATGCTGGTTTTGAACTCCTTATCTCAAGTGATTTACCTGCCTTGGCCTCTTAAAGTGCTGGGATTACAAGCGTGAGCCATCATTCCCAGCCGAAAATTCTTATTTTGACTATTCATGTCTTATTTTTGCACTTTTTCATAAAACAAGGTCGAAAAGCAAAGGAAAAATCCTCTAAGATCAGTGTACTTAGGTTGAAAATGTGTTTTTCAAGAAAAGCTTGTAATTTATACAATTACAGTCCTCAGTTTATTTCGCAGCATCACTAAATTTTATTTCTAAAAATTATATATTTCAAATGTGAAGTTATATTATTTTTCACATTATTTACATTTACTTTCCTTCCTGTAGGCCTTTTTTTAGATACAGAGTCTCACTCTGTTAACTAGGCTGGATTGCAGTAGCATGATCTCTGCTCACTGCAACCTCCTCTTCCCAGGTTCAAGCCATTCTCATGTCTCAACCTCCCAAGTAGCTGGGACTATAGGCGAGCACCACGATGCCCAGTTAATTTTTATGTTTTCAGTAGAATTGGGGTTTCACCATGTTGTCCAGGCTAGTCTCAAACTCTTGGCCTCAGGTGATCTGTCCGCCTTGGCCTCCCAAAGTGCTGCGATCACAGGCATGAGCCACCATGCCTGGCTCCTCTAGGCCTTTTAAATCTTTCACTTATGATATTGGTCAGCCCATGGTCAAAATAATAAATAAAACATATATACAAAAATTCAACACTGCAATGCAAGTTGAATGGTTTCTTGAAAACCACTCAAGCAACTCAAGTGTACACAGATAGACCTGTGGCAACTGGTGAACAATTAAATGGCACAGAAGTTGGAATAATGACCTCTGTTATGCAGTAATCTCTTGGCAGAGATACACAAGAACTCCAATAAGGCCCTCTTATGATATGCAGAACTGCCTCAAACATCATGTGACTATAGAACTTGATTTGCCATCTGGGCGCTGTGGCTCACAACTATAATCCCAGCACTTTGTGTTGTGAGGCAGGCAGATCACAAGGTCAGGAGTTTGAGACCAGCCTGGCCAACATGGTGAAATCCTGTCTCTACTAAAAATGCAAAAATTAGCCGGGTGTGAAGTGGATGCCTCTAATCCCAGGTACTCAGGAGGCTGAGGCAGGAGAATCGCTTGAACCTGGGAGGTGGCAGTTGCAGTAAGCCAAGACTGCTCCACTGCGCTCCAGCCTGGGCGATGGAGCGAGACTCCATCTCAAAAAAAAAAAAAAGAAAGAAAGAAAGAAAGAAAACTTGGTTTGCTAAGGACAGTTTTTGTTTTTTTTTTATATGTCTGTACCTGGCTTATGCAAAAATTGGACTATGCTAATTTCTCAAAGCATTGTTTACTGAACATTCTTTGTAATGTATGGGGCAATGACAATTGTCTAGATGTAATTTCCTAATGTTAGGGGTTGGTCTGGTTTCTGAGGGCCCAGTAGAGGAATTCAGTACACAAAATGGCTTCCTGGGTGGGCACAGTGGCTCATGCCTGTAATCCCAGCACTTTAGGAGGCCAAGGTGGTCAGATCACCTGAGGTCGGGAGTTTGAGACCAGCCGGAACAACACGGAGAAACCCTGTCTCTACTAGAAATACAAAATTAGCCAGGTGTGGTGGTGCATGCCTGTAATCCCAACTACTCAGGAAGCTGAGGCAGGAGAATCGCTTGAACCCAGGAGGCGGAGGTTGTGGTGAGCCAAGATCATGCCATTGCACTCCAGCCTGGGCAACAAGAGGGAAACTCCATCTTAAAAAAAAAAGGAGGGGGGGGGGCGGTTCCTACCTACAGTTTCTGTTTGATACTTCGTACTCTGCCATCTTCCCAGAATCCTCTCTTCTGACTTCATATACTAATACATCATTTTTGTTCTCAGTACAAATGTCACCTCCTCAGGGTACTGTCTTTCCCTCCCCCGCTTACTCCAACTTGAAACTCAAGGGCACACTCTCTAACCCATTACTCCTATTTCATTTGGTGTGTTTCAACATGCTTGTCAGAATCTGGAAAATCCAATCAAGGTTCAGAGTTGATTGCTCTCTTAACAAGGTAGAAAACGTATACCATCTAAATGAGTCCAAATTTAAGTGTTACCTTTATTTTTTGTTTTTAAAAATTTTACCTTTATTTTCACCAACGGTTATAACCTATATTAAAAAATACTCCAGGGTCCAGGCACGGTGGCTTATGCCTGTAATCCCAGCACTTTGAGAGGCCAAGGCAGGCGGATCACTTGAGGTCAAGAGTTCGAGACCAGCCTGGCCAACATGGTGAAACTGTCTCTCTACTAAAAGTACAAAAATTAGGGCCGGGCGCGGTGGCTCAAGCCTGTAATCCCAGCACTTTGGGAGGCCAAGGCGGGTGGATCACGAGGTCAAGAGATGGAGACCATCCTGGTCAACATGGTGAAACCCCGTCTCTACCAAAAATACAAAAAATTAGCTGGGCATGGTGGTGCGTGCCTGTAATCCCAGCTACTCAGGAGGTTGAGGCAGGAGAATTGCCTGAACCCAGGAGGCGGAGGTTGCGGTGAGC